AATAGGAGAAACTGGAGACCCCATAGCACACCCATGTTTCTGCCTATAATATTGCTCCCCATATGTGAAGTAGGTTGACTGCAGGCACAGTTTCAAGAGTTGACACAGTTGTTCTGTGGAAAGTGTGGTCCTGCTGCTCAGAGTGGTGTCTGATGTTAATTTCAAACTGACCACCTCTACTGCATCATCAACAGGAATGCACGTAAAGAGTGATGTGACATCAAAAGAGACCATTGTTTCATCAGTCTCCATGATGACATCCCTCACCTTGTCCACAAAGTCCATGGTGTTCTGTATGTGGTGTTCTGAGCTGCCAACTAAAGGGATGAGTACAGACGCCAGATATTTGGAAACATTGTAAGTGACAGAGTTAATCATGCTAACGATTGGTCTTAAAGGTACACCTTGTTTGTGGATTTTAGGTAAACCATACAGACTAGGTGTGGCCTCCCCTGGGTACAGTCTGTGGTACAGAATACGGTCAATAGCCTTGTCCTGCTCCAAAATTTTTCAGGCAATCTATCAATTTCTTCTTGTAACCACTTCCTGGATCTCTTTTGAGAGGTTCATAAGTGTTTAAGTCACTAAGGTGTGTCATAACTTTCTCATGATAGTCTTTCTGGTTCAAAATCACTGTGCACCTTCCTTTGTCTGCTGGGAGAATGATGATGTTTTTGTCCTTGCTAAGAGAGGTGAGTGAGAAAATGAGAAAATAGAGGAAAATGTTCATATAAATAAAAAATTATGTGTGGATGATGAGTGTTAAATGATATTTGTAAAAGAGATGAAAGCATGTTAAATAATACCTGAGCTCTAAGTATTGGTTGAAATATTTAAAGAAAAAGAAAAGAGGAGACATGAGCAGCAGAATGGACAAATAAAGCAAAAATAGTCATTAAAGACAAAAAAGAAAGGACAATAAAACTCAAAAGATGATTAAAGACACATAAAAAGAGACAAGGAATCATAAGGAGACAAACTGAAATCTATTCCAGCGTATTTGATCTACGTACACCAAGTTTAGAAAATCTGAAAAAACCTTAATCCTTTTCTATGGTGGAAAAATGTAAATACAGTTAAATGATGTAATGTCCTGAGTTATCTGATCTTTTTGGTTCATAAATAGTTGAAAAAAACATGCTGCAGAAGTTAAGAGTATCCCAACTGTGAAACATGGTGGTGGTAGTGTCATGGTTTGGGCCTGTTTAGCTGCATCTGGGCCAGGACAGCTTCCCATCATTGATGGAACAATGAACTCTGAATTCAAATTCAATTCAAAATCGGAGATCACACCAGATACTGAAAGCAAAGGTTCACATAGTTTTTCCACTCACAAATGTGTAATATTGGATCATTTTCCTCAATAAATAAATGACAAAGTATAATATTTGTGTCTCATTTGTTTAACTGTGTTCTCTTTATCTACTTTGAGGACGTGCGTGAAAATCTGATGATGTTTTAGCTCATATTTATGAAGAAATATAGAAAATTATAAAGGCTTCACAAACATTCAAGCACCACTGTATCAGGAAAAACGGATCAAAACAACTTCAGTTTTTCATACAACAGTACCTTGATCTCCATGGTTGGGATGACAACCTCCCTGAGGTCTTTGATTTGCATGATGGGTTGATCAGCAGGGATGGGAATGGCCTCTAAAATGTAAGAAGGAAACGAGAAAGATCACTTAGCGAAACAGGTTCATTTTTTTCAGTTTTTACCCAAATGACTCATATTTAGCTTCCAACCTCTTTAACAAAAAACGTGCACGTCAACACAAGTCCTAAACAAACAAAAAAAAAGCTAAATTAAAGTGTAATTCTTTAGAATAAATGTATTTCTTTAAGGCACAAAGCGAAACTTGAAGTTTGTATTTCTGGACATCGTCGTGCTCAGATACTCACTCTTCTCAGTCTTGTGCTTGCTGGCGTCCATGTAAGCCAGAGAGATGTAGGCGTCGCACAAGCGCTCGACGCTTCGGACCATGACGCCTCGTTTTTTACCGACTACACTGATGATCTTGCGTGCCACATTAGAGCGCTCCTGCAGGCGTAAAATGGAGATGAGTAGTTAAAGAGACGAGCAGAGATTTTATTTGAAAAAGTGTCTAAATTTGTTGGATTTGCTTTACTATTGTAAAAACTACCAAAACTGAATTTAGAAACATGAAAATATTTTTTCCTCCTCCTCCAGCCCAATGACTAGAGAGGCACCAGTAGTCCGTGCCCTTGAACAGAATGGCGGGTAAAGAAAACAAAATGTATTATTTTTTTCCAAATAGCACCAAGACATCAAGTTTTTCTCTCTATCAATAAAAAAAAAAATTACAAATAATAACCTCCAGATTAATAAACTAAGTATTTAAACACATTTGGTGCTTGATTGGCACCTGATTGTCAGCACTTGAGAACAAAAAATGGCAATGCCATATCTCCACAGTCTGGCACCAAACTCTATCCTCTAAGACAGGGCTATTCAACTGGTGGCCCAGGGGCCGAATCAGGTCCACAGATGTGCTCAGTGCGGCCCATCAGTGGGTTCATTTTTAAATAAAACTAGATTTTAAATGGCAAAACAAACTTACTTGAGAATAAGTGCTGGATGTCCAGCCCCTGAGCTCTTGGCTTTCAGTAACTGTGGCCCCGAGTAATTTAGTTGAACAGCCCTGATCTAAGATGACAAAACTCACACCAGAACAGGGTCTACCAGAGACAAATTACAGAATTTGGGAGTGGAGAGGATGGAATGGCCTGCCTGCAGTCCTGACCTCGATCCCATTGAATACATGTCACCTCCTTGGGTGTGCTGCTGTTTCTAGCATGACAAACAACCACAGTGAGACTAATGACACATGCTAGTTGAAGAATGGGATGTTATCCCACAGCAAATGTGCAATCAAGCTGGTCAGCAGCATCAGAAGGAGGTGCCAGACTGTTGTGGCTGTGTATGGATCTTCCACATGCCCTGTTTGTTAAGTGAATAAACTGTTAAATTAGCAGTAAGACTTTTTAGTCACACTTTGTTCACCCAATTAAACAATGAACACCAAACAAGAGTCAATTGTAGAATAAGCTGTTGGGCATTGGCAGAAAAGTTGTTGCAAGCTTTTCATGGGTGCAACCCTCATATTCAACTCTGCTGCTCAAACAGCAAATATATTTTCCTAACAAATGTGGCACCATTATTAAGGAAATAGCTAAACTGTCCAATACCATAGGATTTAATTTAATTAAATTCAGTTATTTATATAGCTCTAAGTCACAACAGAAGTCGTCTCAGGGCACTGAACAGAAACATTCATATATAAAAATAATAATTTAACATTATTTATCTGAGGAGCAGACTGCTTTGAATTGAACTCCATCGCAGACTCATCTTGAGCAAACATGAAGGCGACAGTGGAAAGGAAAAACTCCCTCATGTGGAAGAAACCTTTAACAGAACCAGACTCAGGACAAGCGACCATCTGCTTCAAAGCATTATTGCAACAAAAAATAATCAACTAAACACAAAGTTCCTTACTTTTTACAATACAACTTTGTTTATAAAGCATTTTAAAATCAACACCGTTAGCCAAAGTGCTGTACACTAACACATACAAGCATAAAACCTATACGATCAACTGAAACCGTAAAAGTAATGAATTGTTAAAATCACAAAACAGCAAACAGTAAAAACAAACAAACAAATAAATTAAAAACGGTAAAACCAACATTTTAAGCTGCGTTAAAAGCCAAAGAGAAAAAAAGTGTCTTCAGAGAAGATTTAAAAACAGGAAGTGAGTCATATTGTCCGAGTGTAAATGTAGCTTGTTCCTCAGTTTAAGGGCAGCAACTTTTTGTGCAAAGTATTTGTACATTTGTTTGTAACTCATATTGTTAAATCAAAAAGTCTCACCAGATCAAACTGTGATGCCTGCCGTGGAGAATTCTTAGGCATTCGTGTCCTGCAAAAATTCTCGTCTTTGTTGGCGTTTACCAGGGCGAAGATGATGAATAGTGTGTGGTGAGGATGATCCAAAGACGCTCTGCAAATCAGCTACGAGAGAAGATGACCAAAGCAACACAAAACAAGTGTACTGAAGATAAACACACACAAAAATTAAATATCATGAAATAAAAGCTATTTGTGTTTTTGTCATCCATCAAACTATGAACTGTTAATGAATACAAAAAACAGTTACATCATTTAGGACATCATGGAAGCCAGTGTCCTCAGAGACGCTGGTGGTCGTCTTGGTTCCCATTCGAGCGGCCAGCTGATACATGAGTGGCAGAAACTTGTAGGAAGGAATTTGCTTCACTCTCTTCTGTGAAACAAAATGAACACAACTGACCTTCTGCTTTACCAGGTGGCCACTCTCACCAGCTCAAAACAAGCTGACTTTGTGCAAAACACACTGACCTTCATTGTGTCATTAACCACTTTGATGCCTGCGTTTTCCAGCCAGAGTGAAGCCAGCCGAAACACCCAGGTGTTGTGCTCCTCGCCTTGCTCCAAACACTGGATGTAGTTCTCCACTGCCTTACAGAGGAAGCGCTGTCTGTCCTTCTGCAGGTTCTGCAAGGCCTTTTCATCCAGCTCCAGCTCTTTTTGCACCTTAACAGTGTATCTGTGAAGGCAAATAGTCTCTTATTAGTAAGTAGTAGCTTTAGTTCACATACAAAGCTGCAAAACTAAAGGATGACAACAAACCTGTTGGTCACTTTTTGCTCCTTAATTAGGTCCACCTCCTCTTTGGCCTTCTCCAACAACGCCTGCTTGTTCTCAAACTCAGAAGAATTCATGTACTTGTCAATGCTCTGGTACTGAGCATCAGAGAAGCGAGCCAAGGACAGGAAGGCCTCGGTTCGCTGGCTCTGAAGCCTGAAGTCCTGGGACCTCAGTTCCCCCTCGATCACCTCCACTGCCTAAGAGAAAAACATGGAGGTGAGTTAGGGCTGAGTACCGAACCGAGGTTCTTAAATGGCACCCACCGAACTGCACAGGTCGGTGTATGTATTGAAATGTCACTCTTTTTTCGGTGACAAGTTTCGGTATTGGCTGTAACGTGTCACGTGGTTTCAGCACGCAGGCAGGTAAAACACCAGACATATGACGAAACAGACTACGTGTTTACACCCAGAGCTGTATAGAGCTGCCGCACCTAATCTATGTATAATGTATGTCTATGGTGCTGGTGACGCCCACAGACGGGGTTCACGTGTGCAGCGCGTGTTGTGGAACGGCTTCGACAACACACGAGCAGAAAGTTGCTCCATGTTTTTCTGCAAGAAGCCAAGAAGCAGCCTCCCCTCCTCCTCTCACCATGAGTCAGTCTGTGTGTTAAACGGACTGAATCAACATTCCACGGCCGGACTCGTCTTCATCAAAGAACTCCCGAGGACGGCTCTGTGTCTGTGTTTCAGCTGGTAAGCTTACTGCAGCTTAACACGTACATCGTGGTGAATTAAACTAGAATCCATGTATCGCTAACTTTAAGATATTAGTGTGTAAATTGATTTTATCTACGTAGCTAGCTAAACTCAGAAGCTAACTAAAGACTGACAGTAACAGATAAATCTTAGCTTGTAAAAATGTGTTCATCCATCCAGTCAGCTGCTTAAACAGTTCACTAATGTTCACTGTTTATGTTAATGTTCGCCTCACAGGAGCCTCTGACCCTGATGTGAGGACAGAGACAAAAGAAAAGTGAGGTGGGGGCCACAGGACAGTCACAAACTTTGTTGTTAAAGTTTGCTGCCTTTTTCTACAGTGGGGATGTGCAAACTGGATTTATGATAAACAGGATTTCTGCTTTTTGGAGCTGGTGGTCACCTAGATTAATGACAAATTAGGAGGAATGTGTTGTGCTTGGCAACACTCAGACTATGCTGTGTGAACTATCTGTGGACCCGTATCAGAGCTGAGCCGGCTGATAGACGTGCTATCTTTTATCAGGACTATGGAACTTTCTGGCAATGTTCACAGACGGTGGGAAGGAACAGATCTCGGGGAAGTTGTAAGCTCGACTCGGCATATGTAATCACAGTTTTGGCTGTTTGGAGTCGCCATGAGATGAGATGTACTGGTAAGACTGTAAAGGCAGACGAAAATTAACAGAGCTCAGCCTGACCCAAAACAAATGTTGATATCTGAATCTGGCCTTGGATGTTATAGAAACAAGATGCTCTGCTCCTTCCTCCCCTCCCCAAGGACATGGACCTGTGTCAGAGCTCAACCGAGCTGGCTGATAAGCAGTGAACCACCTCTTATCAAGACTATGGTTGGGGGGGCTCTGGCTCCTCAAACTCATGCCTTTGTTGGCCTCCCTCATTGCCCCTCCTCTGGTGCAGCTATTTAGGAGATGCGAGGGCACCAATGGCTGCGTCGCTCACCTGGGAACCTGTACTGGGACCCCAACCCCACACCCACTCCACAAGCATATGTCTATCTGTTTATGTTGCTTTTTTTATGTGCTGTTTTTCTTTTTTTTTTTTTTTGCAGCCTCACGCTGTGTCCTGCAGGGACACAGTGCGAGATTTGAAATACACTCTGTGCACAAACAAAGCTAATTATCCCCCCCCAGACAACAATGGGATTTGGGTTAAATAAGTGAGAACACCCAGTCCTCTTTGGCTCTTTAGCTCAGTCATACTTCACAGTAAAAACATCAGTCAAAGTTTAAATAGGTCAAAGAAAGTTGGATTTTTCATGACTCAGATGGGAATTTGATATTTTTCACTTTTTTTTTTACAATCGCAGTTTAAGTTTTATGATTATTTTGAGGAGTTAACTTTGACTGTGATGATGTTGCGCACTTAAACTTTTGAGCTGTCAAAACTTTCTAAAGGTCTCGCAAAGTACTTCCATGTCCACATTTTTTATATTTCTTATACAGTTCATATATTAAACGTAGACCTTTTGTTTCCTTAGACTATTACAAAAGTACGTTCTGAATTGTTGTTGGGTTTACAAAAGAAAGTCAGTGTTGGAATTTCACGAAGTAGCTGTGCTGGCGTCAGTATTTTTCTTTATAAACTTTCTTGGTATTGAATCCATTTTATACCAGAAATTATGGACAAACCATTTTAAGTGATCTGAGCAGATTTCTTTTCCAACACTACCAACACTACTTAATTAACCTTATTTGTGAAATGTTCTCAGCACAATGTCAGCTTGCATTTACCCTTTCCAGGTACTTTTCCAGTATAACTCCAGGACTTTCCAGGCAGGTCTCAGCGAGCCAGTTACCACACAGCCTGAGGCACTCAGAGTAAAGTGGTACCAGAGTTGGATTAAAATCCACCTGAAAAACACAGGAGGAAAAAAAAGTTTATTTTATAAATTTCCTGAGAAACGTTTTAATACACCAAATAAGATCCAATCTGTAGGGCAGGGCTATTCAACTGGTGGCCTGGGGGGCCAAATCAGGCCCACGGGTGTGCTCAGTTTGGACACCAATGGGTTCGTTTTTAAATAAAACTGGATTTTAAATTGTAAAACAAACTTACATGAGAATAACTGCTGGACATCCAGTAACTGTGCCCCCCTGAGTAATTTAGTTGAATAGCCCTGCTGTAGGGTTTTTCATTCATTGAAGTTTGTGTGTTTGACCTTTTCTTCAAGATTGTGTATCATCTGTCTCAGCAGCCCCAGAGCCAGACCCTGCTCTCCCTTTGCCCAGAACACCTGGACCTCGTCCAGCTGCCATACCGGCACTGGGCAGGTCCCTCCACCACCATGCTGCTTCATCTGATAAACTGCACGCTCTGCAAGCTGGACCACAGGTATGGAACATCGTTATTTTGTAAGAAATGTTGCAAATACAACACAAAAGTGAACCTGACCTAAACATTGGCAACACTAATTTGCTACCTGTGTGTTTCCAGCCTTGCGAGCCAAACGGCAGAGCTCCGTAAGATGGTCTGTGAGCACAAAGCTCACATCCTGGTCACTCTCAGGATTTTCTAACTTGGATAACAGGGTGTGCTGGGTCACAGAACGCAAAGCTAGAATAGGCTCCACCACAGCAAAATCACTGTCCACAAGCAGCTGAGAGTGCTGGTGCCACTGGCTGCAAACTTCACTCAGAGCCACATCTGAGAAAGGCCTGATATGAGAAAACATCAGTTGTTACCTTCAATAAAATCTCTTTGATGTACTGCCGTTTCACTGACATAGAAACATACCTGGAGAAGAGCTGTTTAACACTCTCCAGCTCACTGATGCTCTGCAGGTTCCTGAGGGCCGGATACAGAGAAGACACAGCCTCGAGACTGCCTTTGCAGAGCTCCTCCACTTCAGCGCCTCTAAAGAAATGCACATCACAGTGTTAACATTATATTTGAAGCTGGACATTACAATTTGCATGTCCCAACAGACCTGGCTTGTTTCAGAGTTTGGTCAAATATAAAAAACTCTTTGTCCCTCAGCGCCTGAACGGCACAAAATATCGATTCGTGGAAGCCGGGGATGGATTTACCACTCCTAACACGGCAGAATATGTGTGGAGAAAAAAACACAATATTACTAAATTAAGATCAAACAGCATGATGTTCAGTGTGGTTTCACATCCAGTCCCTCACCTCTCTGACAGCTCACAGTCCCACTGGGTGTTCCTCCAGGCTGCCTGGAAGCGGAGCTCTCTCAGCTCAGCTCCCCACTCCACCCCCTCAGCCTCCAAACCCCGCAGGTAGGTGGTGAGGATGCTGTTCAGACCAAAGTTTTGCAGACCCTGATGGCACGTTGGTCAGGAAAGGATGTTCAGATAAAGCAGACATCAGTGTTACTGAAAAGATACTATGCCATTACAGTAGTCCCTTGCTACTTTGCAGTTTGACTTTTGCAGACTCGCTCTTTCGCAGTTTTTCAAAATAAGATTGTACAGGACACGATTGTCAACTTTAATATTACTCAAGTGATTGGAACAGTACGGGATACTGTACAGTAAAAAGTTAATGAAAAAATAAAAACTTGAACAGGCGCCGCCATTTTGTAGTTTTCTCTCAAAAAGCCTACACTGTAGCACTGCTCAAAACAACTACATTTCCCAGAAGCCAACAGTGCCCCACCCAGAAGCCCCGTTGCCTTCTGCAGAAATGGAGGGTAAGTTCTGATCTGATCCGAAAAAGTTTAGTCCTTTTTCATAGTGACTTCGGCACCCATAAGATGCAGAGAGCTGCATGGAGTCGGACCAGAACCGGACCTCCAGACTCATCTGTGAATCTGAGTGCCACCCGCCAGCCCACGAGGCCATCCGAACGAGGAAGCGCTGCCAGGATGTCTGGCGTTCTCTCCAGAACCCACCGTGATTACCCTGAGCCAGCGAGCCGACCAGAACCTACCAGAACCAGCAGGGTAGGTCTGCCAAAAACGGAACCGAGTCGAACCAGAACCTGTTCTGCAGAGCTGGTGAGTAAAATTTAGTACGTAGCTACACATACGCATGTTGTTAAAATTATGTAGGTTTAAGAATTTAGAACATTGTAAGGGCGTGGGAAGGGTTTATAAAGCCTTAAAATGTATTTACTAAAATAAACACAGTATAATGTTGCTACTTTACAAATTTTCACTTATTGCGGGGGGGGGGGGGGGTCAGTAAGGTAACCCCTGTGATTAATGAGGTTCTAACATTCTTATCCTGACAAGAGACAAACAATGTTTGACTAAATGAAAGAAACAAACACGGTCTCACCCGCAGTATTTTCTGGTTGGACCTTTAATCATCTTACCTCCACAATTCCAACCAGTCGAGTGACCTCAGGCAGAGCAGTATTAAGGTCATACGAGGTCAAGGCTTTTCCCCATAAAGCCTCATGTTCATATGTTCGAATCCTGCAGAACAAAACAAACGTTCTGATGCTGTTCACAAACTGCAGGCAACATGTCATGTGCAGAGATTTGACCTTGTCAGAGGACTGGTCATGGTCTCTCCTCCACAGCCGTACAGACTGTCGGGCTCTCCAATGCTGCGGTACACCTCAATCAGCAGCTCCTATGAACACGACAAGAGGAGAACAAAGACGTGAAAACTGTTCCCTCAGTTAAACATAAGACAGAATGATGTCACTGCGTTTTATTGATATGAGTTAAGAGCAGTTCATTTTGGTGCACCACATTGATAAAGTTGCTGACTTTAAACCTGTGAGACATAAAAATAAAAGTGGATTTTTAAAAATACATATAATTACACAAAAGACTCGGGCCCTGATTCACTATAAATGCAGAGCAGGTGGTTTTTGCTCCAACTTTTGCACATCACTTGCATCCACTAACCTTTCCAGTGTTGTTGCTGGAAACGCTACCATTGAGCTCAGCAGGAACGAGAAGTTTGCACTATTTCTGCATCACACAAGTTTGTTTTCGCTGTAAAATTTTAACCTGACCTCCCACCACCAACACAGCAGATGCAAAGAGTGACAAGAGAATGAGAAAAACGTTTGTTTCAAATTGAGCTCCAGGTCCTGATAACGCACAGAGGCACGCCTTAAAATGTTTGAGTGTAAAACAGAAACAGGATTTTATGGACTTCTTTGACGATTTTTCATTAATGCAACAACAGACAACAATCCCTGGAGCAGACAACAGATTACATATACATCTGGCATGCAGAGCACACCTGCAGACTGATGTTTGTGTCTTCCATACTCTTCTCTGTCAGACTGGAGATGGTGAAGTTCTGGCTGTGCTCCTCAAAGTTGAGCTTGCGAGTTGCTCTGGACTTGGTTCTAGACATTTGCATAATAAAATATTTTTTTTAAAGAAATGGAAGCAAAAAATATGTAGTAATCTTTGTACATATGGCATAGTGAAAAAATTATAAACTTCTTGCAACCTGCAACTTTCCTCCCTGTTGGCTTTGATCTTGTCCACATAGATCTCTGTGCACAGCAGAGCGGTGAAGTGTGCAGAGCAGGACTGAGCAGCTCGGGCCACCTCCAGGTAGTTCAGATCCAGCCAGAAGTTGGAGTCACACACTGTGCCACAAGAGTCCCTGCAAGAAAGACAGAAACCTTTCAAACATGCTAAACGCACAAATGTATTATCCATCCACCCATCACCCATCCACTCATCCATTATCTTTAACCGCGTCCTCCTTTTAGGGTCGTGAGGGTCACTGGTGCCCAGATCCAGCAGTCTCTGTGTGAGAGGCGGGGTACAGTACCCCGGGGTACTGACCTTTGACCCCCATGTGAACTCACTTTGTAAGAAGGTCCACCAGAAGATGTATTTTTATTGGAAGCTCTGTGGTTTTAATGTTGATTTGACTTTTATGAGAATGTTTTATGGAGTCTCTTTAACTTTCACCTTCATCTGTTGGTTTGGATTGTTAACATGTAAGAACAGGAACAAACTCTCGGGGATTGTCAGGATGTGCAGCAAAACTGCTGGTACAGCTCTACAGAACCTCACTGACCTACACAAGGTGACAAGGCCAGGCTGATTCTGGCAGATCCTGATCACCACACCATGGTGAGTTCAGGTTGCTTTCATCTGGATGGACGCAGGTACCTGCTGCCCAGATGCAGGACAAAGAGACTGAAAAACTCATTCATGCCTGCAGTGATCAGGCTTCTCAAAGAACAATGATGATTTCATGTACTGTTATTTTAATGTCTCCATGTCTTGTCTAATATGGACGTTTTATGTGCCTACTGACTGAAACAAATTGCCCCTTGGGGATAATAAATAATCTTGAAGTTGAACTACACCCTGGACAGGTATCCAGTCCATCACAGGGACACATAGAGACAAACGAGACAAACAACCTCTCACTCACACCTAGGGACAATTTAGAGTTACTAATCAGTCTAACATGAATGTTTTTGGTCTATGGAAGGAAACTGGAGTACCCGGAAAAAAAAAAACGTATGCATGGAGAGAACATGCAAACATGCAAACTCCACCTAGAATGGCCCACAAGCAGGAATTGATCCAATGACCTTCTCGCTGAGAGGCGGCAGTTCTCCCAGCTGCACCTTCGTGCCGCCCCACAAATGTATTAGTTTAGTAAGAAGAAAAGAAAAGCTAGATAACAGAGCAGACATTTGTGTTCATCTACAACTTGATCACTTCAAGCTTGAAGAACCTTCGAGACTAAGGTGAGCTGTTGAAAGTGATGGCGCTGTATACCTCATATGCAAAGGAATGGTATGTATTTCCAGCAATTAAAGAGGAACAATCTGTTTTATAAGAAGGAACTATTAATATTTGGGGGATCATGAACATGTGATAAAATCATTCATTTATTGCAGCTTAGAAGCAGTTTTTACAGCAATGTGGTCTTAGTAGCATATTGTAGTGGTGAGGAGCAAACAGAGACACAAGTTACTTTACTACTTTGGGGGTTATAAAAAACATGATAGCAAAATTAAAAGGCATTCAAGTGCTAAAAACTACTTTTTTTGTGTGCGTGTGTGTGGGCTGTCCAAGAAAAGAATAAAAAATCTGGGGGTAAAAGTAGATCTACTGATACAGCAGTAGAGTCAAATGGTGCTTCATAGGAAGGCCTATAGGTCATTAACTTGCTTTGAAAGATGGGATTCAGATCCAGGAGTGAGGTTTCACCTAACTGTGCTGTTATAGTTGTAAGTTAGAAAAATCAGTAGGAATTCTTCATTTTTGTGTTAAGAAACCAAACTGGGTATTATTAGCAATAAATGCTAATAACTTATTGTGCTGCATTTTTAACCACTATAACATCTTCACTAATAGATGCTTTACAGTAATATGTGCATGACTTATTTAAAGAGAAATTAAATAGTTTATCACTGCAACTATTTTCTCTTTTTAAGTACGAGGCAATCATGGGACTGTGGTTATGGGACCCCCATAACCGTGGGAGTGGTGGCACATAGGTTAGAGAAGCTGGGCCTGTGATTGGAAGATCACTGGTTCAACTCCCAGTACCAACAACATTGAAATGTGGGTGGGATTGTAAGGATGGTACCATTTGCTGTTTCTGTTTGTGTCTGTGTTTCCCTAGTGTTTCCTCGTCAGTTTAATTGTTGCCACCTTTGTCTCGTCACACCTGTTGTAATCACGTCTTGTCTCGTCCTTGTATATAAGCCTCCTGTTCTGTGTTGTTCCTTTGTCGGGTCGTATTCGTTTGGGTCTTCTGTGTTCTCCTGAGTCTCCTGAGTTTCCTGAGCTTCCTGAGTCCCGTTTTGAGTATCCCTCCTGAGTCTACTAGTTTAAGTAAGTGTGCTGCCACGTCAGCTTATTGTTTTGTTACTTTTTATTCATCATTAAAGTTTTTGGTTTTGTAATCTGCCGAGTTGAGTCCTGTCTGCGCTACTGGGTTCGTTCTTGTCCACCAAACCCTGACAGGGATAGGTGAAGCACCCACACCTGCCACCACCCTCATTTGCCCCACTCTGTGCCCTTGAGCAAGGCTCTTAACCCCCACCATCTGCTCCCCCAGGCGCCCTACATAGCAGCTCTCTGCTCCACACAGAGGGCTGTGGTAGCTCAGTGGTCTGTGGTTGTGTTGGAAGGGCATCCATCATGAAAAATAATTGCCATGTCTTTGTGCGAGTTAGTTTGCTGTGGTGACCCCTGAAGAAGGGAGCAGCCAAAAGAATAAGAAAAAAAAAACTACAAGAGGCAACCATGTTGAATTTAGAGGTCAGGACTGATGAGAAACCCCTGACTCACTAAGTTGTCATTTTTGGTTCAAGAGTGTTTTAGTCAAGAAATTTTGACAAAACACCTAACAAATGAGGCCAACAATTTCCTGCGGGATCAATAAAGTTCTATCTTAAATGGACTGTACTTATATAGCACTATTCTATCTTATCAAAATACTCAAAGCTCTTTACAACACAATCTGTGCCTCATTTACCCATTCATACAGCACTCTACTAGATCTGTACAAAGAATAATCAGTGCTTTATCACATTCATACACTGATGGGACACACATTGGAGGCAATGAGGGGTTCAGTGTCTTGCCCAGGGACACTTCAGCATGTGACTGCTGGTGGAATTGAACCACCGACTCTTGCATTGGAGGACAACTGCTCTAACCACTCAGCCACAGCTGCCCTCAAATCTTGAAGAATCAAGAGGAGGTGGAGAAGCTGCTGTCAGCACAGACATCATTAGACCTCGAGTTCGCACTTTAAGGCTTGGGACCATAAATTCCATTTTTATCCTGTTATGACAGCTGTTTTTAATCTTCTGCAACAATAATAGCCAAACATGATATTAGCCATCTTTTTTTAATCTAAGTTGATTACCTAAGATAGTTTCAAGAACTTGGACTTGGCGTTTCATAATCCCTGGTAGGGTGTCAATCCTAAATTTGGAAACTAATGAGCTAAGGCACAGATGAACACACAGAAAATGATTTACATCACAGACCTGTCAGCTTCCAGTGGTCTCCTGTGGTGTCTCAGATAGTCTATAACAGCAAGCATGGTACGCAGAGAAGTCTTGTCGTACAAGCCTAGGCTGACAGTGTTGGACTCTGTAAGAAATATTTCATGCTTGTCACAAAAACAGCAAATATAAGCAGGGGGCAGCTATCAGTGCAGAAGGACATTGACAGGGCGTTGTGTTGCTTCTCGTATGAACATACCAGAGTCGGAGTGGAGTGGTGTGGCAGAGCGACTGGCGGCCTGAGCATTTCTGGAACAGAAGTTGAAAAAGTCCCGGATGTGGGAGGAGAGCAGCTCCCTCCATGAACCACTGGGGTCTTCCAAAAGGATAGAGTGGATGATGAGCGGCAGTAGCCTCTGACAGCAGTCCACCATCACCTAGAGACAGGTGGAGGACATTAGGACATTTTGGGACTAAAGTTTACAAATGAAATCAAACTGAAGCAGTGTAAGTGTACTGTTAAAATTCCAAAAATAAGGTTAAAAACAAAACAGCTGGACTTTATTTAGTAGCTGACGATGTTTCGCTTCTCATCCGAAGAGCTTTCTCAATTCAAAGAACAGAGAGTGTGGGGTTCAAGTTATGAAGCTGAGGTGCTCTGGAAGCTAGATACATATGCAGATTGCCCTCTCACTCCTCAAAGTAGGGGTTCATTAGGGTCTTTGTTAGTCTGACTTAAAGATGGGCCACTCTGGTCATGTGAATGAAGTTCTTGATTGGAGTGAAAATGACTGGGTATCAGGCTTAAAGCTGCATTACAGTAGTCCCTCATTTATGGCAGGGGTTTCTGTTCTCAGGTCCCCAATGATAAGTGAAAAACCACGAAGTAGGAATACTAGTACAAGTAGTAAGTATTAGTTTATTTATAAATAAAAATAAATAAATAAATATATATATACATATATATATATATATATATATATGTGTGTGTATATATATATACACACACACACACACACATATATAGGTGGGATTTTTCTTTTATTCAACCTTTATTTATGCAGGTTAATCCCTTTGACTCGAGGACGCATTTACAAGAGAGACCTGATTTTAACAAAGAGTGATGACAACAGTAGACAACAAAGACAATCACAAAATAAAGCATACAAATTGAGAAGAACAAATGAAAGAAAATGGTATTAAAAAACAAAACAAAAAACAGCTACGTTGTAAGGTGGTGTAGAAAACTAAAAACCGGAACATGGCTACATTGGTTTTTGTCAGGAACTTACCAGATGTTTGAAGCCACTTATAGAGGTCAACGTCGAGAACTTCAGGTCTTTTAGCAAGATATTCCAGAAAAACGGAGAAGAGTAAGAGAAGGCCCTTTTGCCTAGTTCAATTCTCAGTGAGGGGACACTGCATGTAATAATGTCCTGACAGCGCACGCTGTAGCTCACGTAGTGACATGTAGGAGATGTATGAAGGCAACAGACCAAGAAGTGATTTAAAGATGAAAATGTATCAGTGAAAGAGTCTGCATGAAGTTAATGATGACCAGTTAACCAGTAAATGCAGGGTGCAATTGTGGGTTTTAATCCCTTCCCACACTCTTGCAATATTCAAAACAATGTTTCTAAACACCAAACGCTCTAAAAGAGCACAGCATGCCATGATCTCCGCTCTCTGCCACTTGCCAGTGCTCTTGGCCACGCCCACTTCTCCACTGCAGAGTGGAGATCAACATGTTGCAGGGACCTTCTCCATGTACCTGTTAGCTGCACACAGGTGCTAAATAATATAAAATAATTTATTTTAAATAAAAATCATGATGATCGTGCGGTTCATCCATCATTTAGCCAATTTTGTGTCATGTCCAGTCTTATTTTGAAAAACCGCGATAGAGCGAGTCCACGAAAAATGAGCCGTGAAGTAGTGAGGGATTAGTGTATGGGTTTTTGAAAGTTGAAATCTGAGACCTCCTCCTCTGTTTAAAGATGGTTTCTTTCTTTTTACATAGATGGCCTCCTTCACCACCCCTCCCCTTTCAAACCATCTGTCTTCTAAGTCCAAAATGTAAACATTATGATCATCAAGTCCCTTATCCTTGAGGTGTAGGTGAACTGCTGAGTCGCCCAGTTTTGTTTTTAACCTGTTTTTGGATTTACCATGTCCTGGATGACTGAGAATCTTCACCAGAACGTGCTGTTATGAACACCTGAGAGTCCTGAGGGGGATAGAGTCAACTCACCAGACACAGTGGTTGTGACAGCAGTAGCACCTCGCTCCTGACCCCCCCACTGTCCAGCAGGGCCGTGCACAGAGCCTTCAGCCAGGCTTGGTGCCCACCTGATTGGGGAATCCAAAACTCCTGGCTCTCCAGCTTCTTCTTGGCCTCCACACTCTCCTCAGCACTCACTGCAGCCACCTGGTTGATGATTACAGACACACAAACCTAATTCCACGACAAACTGAACAAAGCAAAGAAACATGATTGTTTGACATCAAAACAACCCTAACCCACCTTCTTCTTGGCTGTTCTGAAAATATTAAGATAAACCAGCAGGGGGTCTCTGTTTTCTTTGTGCTCCGCCCAGAAGTTAACTCCAGACTGAGTAGCCAGGATGTTCTTCACACACAGAGCTGCGGCCCGCCTCACCTCGATACTAACAGACAAACACGACAATCTAAAAACACGCACGTTTTTGCTACACAAACTTGCAACCACAGAGCTGTCTGTACCGCTGCTGTGTGAGCGCCTCGTTCATGCAGTGCAGGACGATGTAAACGCACTGCGACTCCGTACAGCTCAAAAGGGACGCAGCTTTTTCATAGAGGAGATCTCTGCCGTGAAGGAGGGCAATGGTGGACAAGTCAACTGGGCCCAGTTCTCCCAGACAGCTGCCTGCTGCCGCTACAGAAAAAAAAAAAGGTTTGGTTTATTGAAAATCACTGAAGAATTGGATCTTATTACTTCTATTCACAAAACCAGCTATGTGAGAAATGACTTCCACTCCATAATTCAGCAGCTTGTAAAACCACTTTTAGCATGGTGGTGGAGGAACTTTGGCCCACTCTTCTTCACAACAATGGCCCAGTTTAAGTTGGAGACCGTTCTAGACTTTGACTGGACCATTGCTTTTGATTAGATTCTTTTTCAGCTGTTCTGTTGTGGATTTGTTGCTGTGTTTAAAATCATTGTCCTGATGCAACACAACGTAAGTGGGGCTAAGCTTCAGTTGTCGGACAGATGGCCTCACCTTTGACCCTAGAATTGATTTAAACTCAGTGATTGCAAGGTGTCCAAATCCAGGGAAGATTAGCAGCTGTCTTAAATATTTTACACTTATGAACAATCTTTCTATCTGTAGAATAATGTATTCCAAAATGTTTGTAAATGACCTTTTGACCCGTTCCTTTGTAAATTCTATAGAAGGAATAAGGAAGTATAGTGTTTTACACACAGCTTTTCAATTTAAGATGAGGAAGAAAGCGCTGGGTTGTCATCATTGTATATTTCTATACAATGATGAAATTAGTTCTCTGTATTTTGTATTTTACCCATCACACCTGGGATACACCCAGGTGAAGCAGTGGGCAGCTATGTAAGCGCCTGGGGAGCAGTTAGGGTTTCTTGCCCAAGGACACTACAACTAGGCATGATACGATAACAAATTTTGCTGGGCAATTAATTGTCTCAGAAATTATTGCAATAAATGATAATATTGTTTGAAATTTGACAATAATTAATAATTGTTGTCAAATTTAAGAAGAAGTGTTAGTTAGTTTTTGTGCGCAGTACATTTTTGACCACTGGATAAGACCATTTGAATCAAAGGATGGATAGTGAGGGAGTGAACAGCGTGTCTCTAAAAAAATGGGAGGGAGGCCCCTTGACGTGACATGGGCTGTCTCTCTTCGGTTCTCAAAATGGCGGCCGTTCAGTGTGGTTTGAGCTCTTTAGCATAGCATTTTTCCACACAAAGCTTTTAATAAAAAAATCAGTAAACAAGTTCTCAGCTTCAAAGTCCATGCTCAATAATAAGGATTGTTGGATTTTATACCTGGATTATTGAGCATGGACTTTGTTGTTT